TTTTATAACCTTTTTATAAGAACACGCTTCTTGAAAATACACTAGAATTTCAAGCTGCACTCTTTACATTGTTTACTGCATATTTCAAGCTTTAAAACACATTATTTTAAGTTCTCCTCAGATCTCTGTATTCTTGTAAAAAATACATCCATTCGGAAATCATTTTAAATACTTTTAAGAAATAGTATTTAAGAGCGAATATAAATACTTGATATGTATTTAAATACTTCTTAAATACTTGTTTAAATGTAATTAATACTTTATTCAAGTAGGTTCTAAAAGTTAATTTTGATATTTCCAATATAAATTACAATAATAAACTAATTAATTAAACTAATAAGGTACCTTTTATTAGAACTTTGTACCACCTACTTCATCTTATATTTAAAAATGAAAATAAATAAAATGTGCTGTACATTAGTTTTTAAAACAATTTAGTACTTTGAATGAATAAAACAAATGTTGAAGATATTATAGCAATTATAAATTTATCATGCTATAATTTTATATTGCACATAAGCTACATAGTGTTCGTAGGATAATGTCTGTTGTAAGCCTCACATGGTAGTTTCTGTTTCGTTCATCACTACATTGTCAGATCGCATTTGTCATATGTTCTCCTCAGTTTATAACGTGGACAGTATCACAAGATCCAAATCACGAAAGATAAATTAATATGTATTATTTTATTATGTTAAATAATAAATACCACTGCGAAATTTTTAATTCTTGAACCGTTTACATGGAAGTACGTCCAAGAAAGTATTTAAATATGTTTACTCAAACGATTTACAAGAACGCTGCTCAGCAGGGTAAACTGTAGGACACTCGTATAATCGATAATTTAAAACAACAGACGTACTTTGAACGATGGATGGGCCATTGATTTAGGTTAGATGTTGGGAAGAAGGTAGGATACAACTGTAAAAGCAATAATATTGGTCAAAAATTGTAAATAACATTGCCCAACCTACTGGCTACTTGTCTTCTGAAACCTATAAACAGTTGAATATAGTTTCAATGGCTTGACCAGGAATTTTCAATAGGAGGGAATGTAGAAATTAATAATCGTTAAGTAGTCTCCTATACCCGACTCGACTATAGGAATTGGTATTATTATTTTTTTTTTTGTATTTTTAAACCAACAGGGGAGATATAACCCCTTATCTCCCCCTCCCCCCGCCACTGTTTAGTATATTTATAGTAGGGACTTATTTGTAATGAGGGATGGAGTAGTAGAGGAATGTACCACACGCGAACAATGTCTGCGCAAGCCTATAGTTCCACGGATCGGTAACGACGACGTGACCGTCGGCGGTCGCGTGTCGCCGTTCTCATCGTGCAACCGGCCGTCTTTGTCACCGTATTTTGTTACGGTTAACTCCCACGTACACCGCGCGTATATTATTATAACATAATAATACTACACAGACAGACGCGATCAATCTTTCGGGGCGCGTGCCGGTACCCATACGGATATAGTACGTTAATAATACACGCTGAGATAAAATTGAAAAATCATCCGACCGAGCGATACGCGATAGTCGCATTAAACGTTATTGTTATTACGTTATCTCCGGTCTTCCAAGAGAAGTATGTCTAATATTATTATGTATTAAGAGAAAAACAAGCATATAATATAATATATACGATATATGTATACGTTTTTATAGTATTTCTCTTGTAAACTCTCGGATTTTCCGCTCACGTGAGTACATTTGTATCATGTTATATAGTTTTTAATATTACACTAGAGATTGTCGCAATAATGATTGCCTTCTTCGGTATTGTTTTTTTTTTTTTTTTGTCATTGTCTTACAGCCCAAAATCGTTTTCGGAACACGATGACATTTATCAGTAAATATTGTGTTGAGACGTACCTATGAGGGCTGTGGGGGCCTAGCTAGCTCAATATGTAGAGCAAAAGATTCTTAATCTCGGAAGCGTAGGTTCAAGTGTCACGTTGAACGCCGTGTATAGTGGAATAGGAATAAAAAAGACGGACATACTTCTTACGATAGGTGCAGCCTCTGTTGTCGGTGGTATGTTGGAAAATATAGAAGGGGAAAAATTGATAAGATAGTTGGCGGCAACATTGTCATAATGTGTAATCGATTGTATTCAGTCCCTCCCTGAATAAACTCACATTGTAATATGTTAAAAATATGGTATAGTGTATGTATGTGTGTGCACGGATTTTATTGTGATATATTGTAATATATTAAATATGCATATATTGTGGTGATATTAATACGAAAAATATTTAATGAAGATTAGCTTTTACACACCATTAAAAAAATATGGAAAACCGAGACCATCCCAAAACCATGGGAAACTACAATAGTATTGCCTAATATTTTAAAAGAGAAATCTCCCCAAGATAGAAAACTATAGAGAAATATCAGTACTGGATTCTTGTTATACAATTTCAACATCGCTTTTATTAAAAAGACTAAATCTGTACATCGAAAAAATAAATAGTTGGCAAAACAAATACGGTTTTAGGAGAAGAAAATCTTACAGATACAGACCATCGGTCTAAGAAAAAATAAATCTTAACATTATGAATTTGGAAAATACTTATATCTTGTTTTCGTAGATTACAAAACAAGCATAATATGATAGCGTAGACAAATAATTGTTATAAAAGAACCGATAAGTTTGGGAATACTCAAAAAGTGTGTAAACCTTATAAAAATGTGTTACAAAAGAACGTTATGCAGAGTGCGGTTTTTGCAGGATATATTAGATCCTTTTGAAGTCAAATCTGGTTTAAAATAAAGGGATGCCCTTAAACCCATGCTATTTAACTTGGCTTTAGAAAAAAAAAATAATAAGAGACACACGCGACGATCGGAAAATGGAGACATATAGGTAATGAGAAAGTTTTGTTAGCATATGATATGATAGCATATGATTTGTTAGTATATGTAGATGACATTGTGGTAATAGGTGAAACCCAAGAGGAAGTTATTAATGCTTTAGAACAAAAAATTAACAATTGTTAAGTTCGGAGAAAATTGCATTCTTAAAAATGATCGGGTAGTTTTGAAGTGCGATGCAATAAAAACGTAAACATTTTAATTTTCTAGGAGCTAAATAAGGGTACATCTTTTTTTAAAACATCAGTGTGTTCCTTAATTTTGTGTTTATTATTGTTTCTTTATTTTTAAAAATAAGCCTTTAGATATTACAAAAATAAAAACTAATAAAACAGCTATTTTTTTGATAAATTTGATGCTCATGATTTCTAGAAATCAATTTAAAGTTCGGGAAATTTGAAGGAAACTGATACTCACCCAGCTAAACAAAATATCAAGACAAGAAAAGAACAATTTGCACTGTCTATTTTAATTACTACATGTATATATATATATATATATATATATATGTATTGTAATTACATTTACATCTAATATTTTTATTAATTTTTCAAAAAAAAAAAAAATAAACAAACATTTTAACCGTACCTATGCACTATATAAATATGCAGTCAATCTGTTACCTTTGAGATATTAACGGGAAGTAAATTGTTGATACTCGTATGGATAGAATAATTTAACAAATAAATTGCTGTAAATAAAATACCTAATATAATACCATAGTAATTAAAAAAGTAATATTATTCCGCATTTAGTACTCGGACCAATATTGACCGCGATAAGTACGTATACTGGAAACACAATCGAACATTTGATATTTGAAAATTGTCTTCTTTCGTTGCTCTGAGGATAGGTGCGCAGTATTCAAACGGCGGTATTGACCGTCACGAAATAACACGATCCAATAGAGCAATGGTTCCTAACCTGGGGGTAATTACCCCCCAAGAGGTAAACACGAATTTTTGAGGGATAAAGACTACCTAACCTAACTAAATTTTTTTTTTTATTTTATGTTCTCTATACCTATCATTATTAACTTTGCATCAGTCATGTGTACTACGATTGTAATAGTTTTGTTTTGAACATTTTTTTTTCTGGAGGAGGGGTATTTGTAATATCTTACCTGGTTTATGGATAATGGTCTCAAAACGGTTGGAAACAGCGGTGATAGTGTATATTATTTTTGCCCCGTTTGCCGCTCACAAACACTACGGCGAACTAGGGAACAAAAACGCCTCTTTATTTCCTGTCCGCTCCGAGATATACGAAATCGTGACGATCTATATATATATCAAAACAATAATAATGATAATGACGATAATAATAATGCTGAGAAAAAAATATCTCCGCACAAAATGTCGGGACCGTCGCCGCGCGGCGTGTGGGCGCGGCGGGCGTCGTGGGCGACAAAATATTTAGAGGACGACGACGACGACGGGCCGAGAAACCGCTGAGTCCCGCGCGCGGACGGTAGTGGCGGCGACGGAGTCGAATTGGCACGGCCAACAATGTCGGCGCGGCGGCGGTGTCGAGCGCTGCCAGAAATTCGCGAGTTTCCCGCCACTGTGTATAATAATATCTGCTCGATATTTACGCTCATTGTGCACCGCAAAGAATAAGCTGCCGTGGGGTCGGACATAAAAGCGTTACGCGTAAAGTGATCGTATTATATTTATAAGAGTAATATGAGTATAAACTGCGTTGTGTGTGTGTGTGTGTGTGTGTGTGTGTGTGCACGAATGAGTTTTTACACGTCATGCGAAAGCCGCACGTATATTAAACACGTACGTTAGTATTATCGTTGGGTTTTTTTAATTTTTAAAATTTGCAAGCGTTTAGGCGTAATATTAATAAAATGATAAACCCGACTGCGCTCAAATACAGTGATAATAAATAGCATATTTAGCAAAGTGCGCAGTGCGCTGCGTCGGCAACGACGATGACGGTGATAATATTATAATTTATCCACACGTAATAGATAACGATTAAAGATTCATCCCGGGCGTAAAAATAAAATTTAACGCCCGGTTGTCTATAGATAACGTAAAAAACTAATAAAAATATACATATTTTAATAAGGCGTGATAATTCAGATTCATAATAAATATGTACTAGAAATCATCTTTGATCCTTAGCTAAGCTTCCCATAATTTCCATGGACGCTTTCAATGGCCCATTTCTCTCTTGCACACTACTTTGGATCGTACGTATCAGTGCTCCTTTTTTTCTCCATACATGTCCGGCTCCACGAAGACGTCTTTTTCCGATTTCCTCTAATATATCAGGCGTCTGGTACAGCTGTATGAGTTTGACGTTTTTTTCAGATCCCCGTTCTCTGTTCTATATGTTTACCGTTAGAAATTATGTTACAATTAAACAATATGTACCTTAACGAATATCTTAATACCCGTAATTTGTAAAAATCAATTATTTTATTTATATTATTAGTAATGATATCGCAAACTAATATGTTATATAAATCAAACATAAAACAAATTAAATTATTATTATATTATTTATTAATTTTTGTGAACTAGTTTTATCTTATCATAACTCGGCGAGTCACAACAGCAAAACGGAAAAAAAGGAATAATTTATTAATTTAATTCAAATTAATTCATCTCACATATTTTCGCATTATAAATAGGTACATAATTTGACTGTAATAAGAAAGTTTATCTTCAACTGATAAGTTGTTGTTCCGTATATTTTAATTCGTGTTTATGACTCACGTCATCCCACTCACTTTGACACTGTTGGGTTTACTTAAATAATAGAAATCATCTAAAATATAATATGGACAGTTGTCTTTACTATCTAATAAAAGAGTTTTGGAATTAAACTTTAAATATGGATGATGTCAACCTAACGTTGTAAATGTTTTGTCTGTAGCTCGTCAGCAATTTACATTCACCCGCGTGTGCTGATCGGATACTGGAAATTTAATCAGGGAAAAATATAAGTAAATTTAATTGACCATAAACAACAAAAATACAAATAAATTCTATTTTTAATTTCGGAATAGTTATGGTTTGTATTTAGCAATATTTTTTTATTATAATTGATTGGGAATTTGGAAAAAACGTTTAAGTCGTAGTTATTGTACACACGGATACGACTTTTCTATAATACACAGATATAAGTTTCATTATCATGATAACGGAGACAGAAATTGAAAAAGATAGTGATAATTATTCGTATAATTGTGTAAAAGAGATGCAGTGAAATAAATGATAGTTTTAGGTGTGTTTCATACAAATTTGTTTTCAATGCCATAGAAATCTTTACTTTTAATGTTCTAGTCCGCCTCGATAACCATTTTACGCACGAAATGTCTCGAATACCGTAATATAAGTATGGTACGTTTATTATTATCACGACTAAGATATTAAATTAAAATCGTAATAAAAACCCTCAATCATACCTCCGCCGCTTTCCCCAGACAGCACGCTGCTGTGTTCTCTACTGCAGTATCGAACGTGCAGGCGTCCCCTTATCCGCTACCACTTTAATACCATCCCACGCACAAAAGCACGAGGAATGTTGAAAATAACAATCGTTAAAATACTTGTATCAAAAGAAAACTTAACTTATATTAATAAATATTTTGTACAGAAATGTACTCCTTGTACTCGAACAAATATGCCATACTATGGACTATAAATAGGTATTATGAAGAGGTATATCCGTCATTTTAATAATGTAATAGATTACGTACAAGTTTTTAAAATTAAATATTTTTGATGATTCTTGTTGGTGTAATAAAATCCTTTATCACAAATACGTAATTTTATTAAATTTGATTGTGTACGATTATTGTTAGAGTCCGTGATAAACAAACGTTGAAGGCTATTATAGGGCTTTTGAATGACTATTTGATGTCCATTTTCCTACAAAAATTTCTTTTTATCGTTTTTTTTTTTTTTTTTGATAAACCTTGTAAGCTTTATAGTTTAAAGTACTGTTATCGGCTGTAAATCGAATAACAAATTATTGTGTTAGTGTAGGCATCTAGGCAAGGATGGGTCTTTAGTATGTTTTTTGGCGTTTTCTCAATGAATCGGTGTTTTAATTATTATTAATTATAGTCAAAAGCTCCTAATCCTTGGAAAACAATCTAGATGACTGAGCGTTGCCATAAAGTGGTTTTGAATTAACTATAGTATATCCAGACCGCACAAATATTTGCCTTCTCCTCCTACGTGAGGTTTACCGCTCTAAGTGAAACGGTTTACAAAGCTTTATTGTTTTCATTTCCCCCTTCCCTTAAATTTGCCTAATATAATTAGTATATTCTTTCAGCTGACTTGCCATCGTCATGGGCCTGGTAGGAAATATTAACCAAAACGATTTAATATTTTATACCTATATTTTCCTTTTTTTTAACAAGTGCCATGTAAGTACGTGTATTGCATTGCATAATATACTATATGTAATAAACGTAATATACTATATGTTTATGCAATGGCTACTTATTAGACGTATGCACACGTGAAATTAAAAATGCCCCGATAGAGACTATGTAATCTAAAATTAACGAAATTCATAAATACCTTTACGTGAAAATAAACTTTAAAATAATCAAATAAACGGTGTATTATTTTAATTTTTTAAATATATATATAACTTAATCAAAAATTAAAATTAAAATGTCATAAATTGTAAGGTTTTCAGTAAAATTTGAAGTTTAATCGTTTAAAAAAACCTACCTAATTTTATTTTTTTTTTTTTCTGATAATAAGTATTATAAATTTAAAATTATAATAAACACAGTATTAAATTTTCAAATATGTCTAGCAAAACAATTCTGTCTACGAAAAAGTCAATGTAAACCAGCAAACAAAAACTAAAAATAAATTTAAAATGCCAAATACTTATGAAAATTGCTATGTTTTGAGAATTTAAATTCCTTCTATTAGGGGAAAAGAAAAATTAAACGCACGTTATTTTAGGGATAATATTGTTTAAAAATTGGTTAGTTTTGTTATCATTTCGTAATTTACTAATTTCGTTATATAAAATTGTGATATAAATTATGATAATGGTTTAAAATGATAACAAACAATATAGCTTATTTAATAATTATAAATGCCAAATCTACAAATGATAATTGATATCATTGATTGTCAGTATAATCATTTTTTCTTTTTATTATAATTAATAAAATATTATGTTTTAAATTTTGAGTAAATTTTTGATTTATTTTTTTTATTATCAATTAATGTGTTTTTCATTTTTCATTTTTTTAGGCTATGAACTACGAAGTTTATTTTATTTTATTTTTTTAATCATCTTCTCAACTTCCCATGTACAACAGAAATTGCTCCCGTTCCCGGTTAACCTAATCTAATTTTATTTATAAATATGTAATATGCATGTTTATAAAAACAAAAACGAGTTCTATTTTTTTTTAAAGACGAGGAACGGGAACGAATTCCTTTTTAAAAGAAACTTTCCAACACTGCTACAGTTAAATCATAAAACTGTACCTATTAAATAATTATAAAATATATAATATTACATATATATATACAGTATATTATAGGTACTTACATGAATAAGTAGCAGAATTTTAGATGGATATCGGAGTTTAGGTATTAAACTTGGATTCCGATAATAGTTAGCCCGGTACTGTATGTATGTAGTAGTTATGAAATACATTTGACGTAAATACTGAGGACTTTGAAAAATGATTGTATGATTAATAACTAATAGAATTTAATAATTTAATCGTATTATATTACGCAGTTTAATCGCAAATTAATCAATTACGCCTAACACTGGGTGGGAAGAAATAGTTAAACAGGATGTGGAAGCTTTAGGAGGTAGACTGAATTGGACGATTACGGCTATAGATATAAACAGCTGAAGGATTTGGTATTACAGTTTGAATAAACTCAAATAATAATATTAATGATACTACAATTTGTTAATTAATCATGTGTTTTACTGTTTCGTTATAACAATTCTTTAGGGACCAGAATGCAATATAATATATATATATATTATTAAATCGTAGCAGCGCCAATGTTGGATTTCCATGACTGTTGTGTCAAGCTTATTATAATATATGGATGTATCACCCAATGAAAATAATTTTAGTTCACTTAATAACGTTATTTTACTTATATTAATTATTTTGTTTTTGAAATATTATATTTTATAGCGTTATGCATAACCAGCTTATTGTACCAATAGTAATTAACGTATTTTTTGTGCCTATAGTTACTCCAATCATTTTCGTTTTGACCAAAGACACATATTTTTGTTTATAATGATAGGTACCTAAAGTTTGTAAAATTGTTTCCACTCAATTTTTTCGAACCGTCTTCCTTGCACTTCTGGTGGGCTCTTTGATGTAATGAAATTCAATCAATAAATCCTATCCGTTGTTTAAAAATATAAAAGTTACATCGTAACTGTTTTTTTTATCACAGTGAATGCAATATTTTTCACTTAAATATCATTTTGCTGATTTTATGTACCGTTGTAATTACCTAATCTAACGTAGTATAGAGCTAGGTTTATGTCAGTTACTTAAAATTGTTGCAATTGATTTTTATTTTTATTTTTTTATCACATAATACGGTATACATATTAAATTCAAACACTTATGTTTTGTTGAAATAACATAAAATATCAATAACAGTTTTGTATTCTTTAAATTACTGTCGATTAGACACCTGTACGTGGTGTACACAATAATTTGATATTTATTTTAGGTTTTGCCGACAAAACAAAAAATATATTATGCCCCTCTACGTCAATTATTATTTAGTTAATTCACCATCCAAAGCGAAAATGGTCTATAGCGGGTGATAGTGTGGTCGAACGGTACATAATGTGAGTAAATATTTCGTATTTAATGCCTACATTTATCACTTTTATGTTGCAAGCGTTAAATGCATATTAAAAAAATATAAAAATAAAACAAAATAGGTTTCCGTAAAGGTACGTCTATAGCAGTGGCTTGGCGTGAAGTCGTAAGCCGCCAAATATACCTCTGTAGTGTATGTTACTCTCGTTTGTTACATATTTAGACATGCTGACTTTCTATAATAATCTGCCGAAGGGCTGTACACAACTTGTAAAAAGTCATATAACTGAATTTTAGAGAACTTGTCTGCACCATGTGTCGTTAACCTTCGACCAATTTGCCACTGATTTTAACAGCTGTCTATACGCATGGAAAAGTGGTCGATAAAACCATGCGTTCAATGTGTCATATATTAAACAATCAAGTTTGCTTTGAATAATTTGCATAAGTGTACACATCGCGACGATTTATCGACACCTACACCTATCCACATTTTATCTCACACATCTCAGCAACAATTAATCTACACCTCACTTTTGGTTTACCTATCATATTACAACTGACGGTCTGCAGGCGAACATCAAGCTGTTTTGCAGATCCACGAGGTAGTGAAAGTTACTTTACCCCAGTAATATAATAGTATTTAGATTTTTCAACAATTAATCGCGTATAATATAAGAAATGTTCATTCACACGTTTAGGTATATAAATTTACACTCATACAGAATAAGACGGTCTTCGGACGATGCACAATAATAATCGATATTACACCGTTTTATTGTATTAAATATTATAATATACATATATAGTATATCGCGTTTTGTCACAGCATCACATTTGGTTGTCCGCACACAGTGACAACGTAGCCACCGCATAAGGTTGTAAAATCGTCAAGCGCCACATACCTTCATCGCTCGCCTTTCTATTCAGAAGACTATTTCACTTTTACAGATATACACGGAGTAGTGGACCCACGCATAATAATGATTATGCAATTACCAATAATACTTAGTACCCCCTTTTTATTTCTATTTATCTATATCTATTCTACTACACGGTCTTATCAGTATTGTTTTTTTTTTTTCAAAACCAATATATTTGACCCGATATTTTCGAAAAAAAATGTTCTATAATGTTTTTGGATTACGAAAAAAGTATAATTGAATCAGGTTTTTTGGTGTTTAATAAATATATCAGCTCGAAAGCTAATAAAAACTTATAGTTTTCGATTTAAGATATCGGGTTTCGGGTATCGAGAAAATTAGTAGGAACATACCCAAATCAATGCTCGATTGCAGTGCTACAATTCTTAGAATAGGTTCAAACAATATAAATATAAGTAATATACCAACAATAAAGCTTTGTTCGGGGATTTATATGATACCATTATCTATTTAATTTTGTATGAACATGAGGTGTGGTGATCAAAAACAATAACTAGATATCTTATCACATTTATTTCCGTTATGTTATATTTAATGTTTATTTACATTTAAATTATTGTTGTACCTTGTACGTTTACTTGAATTGTTTACATTGATGACTTAATATTTTTTTAGACAAATAAAAACCGGACGAACCAATTAAACCAATAATATCGGACGAAGAGTCACGTGTCCCCAGTCTTTCCTGACTATCACACTAGCGTCCGCTATTCAATTAAGTTTGGAGCTTGAAGTTCCCGTTCTCCAAAAAAATCCACAATACCGAGGTGCCACTATATAATATTTTGAAATTAACCCCATCTTAGCCTCCTCAATTACACACTTACTCCTTGTTGTCTCAAATACGGGTAAATGTACATTTTTTAGATATTCAAACACTCGTGGTCATCAAACCTTAAACCATTGCTCGTAGGTTTCTGACAGCTGATTTTAGAGGGAGCAATAATTATTTTTATATAAAATATTATTTTGTAGAACGATAAAATACACTAAAATAACCAATAAACAAAATATCTGGGTCACTTCTTTCAACTCCCACTCTTTTCAACTGGCCCAGTGGAAATTCCATATTGGGACCAAGATTGCGTTATGCATGATTAATTTACGGACGCTTCTTCTCGTGAATAACAGTTTTTTCCCGGTTATTCCCAGTTATTGGAAAAACTCTGTGGTAAATCAAAAAATGACCTGTTTATAGTACATTATTAGTCCAATCTCCTTTCAAAAAGGTGAAAAGTCCTTTCAAAAATTAAAAATTGGAGCAAGATTTCTAGTAAAAAATCTGTCCACAGCAAAAAAAAAAAATAATAATAATTTCATTGTAAAACCATAATTTTCGTAATTCTACTCAAAAATCTAAAATTTTAACGATAGGGTTTCTCAAGTTCAATGTCCGGTGGTAGCAAAAACTGAATTCTGATTTTTTACATTTATCTAGATCTAAAATCCAAATTTATCAGATTTATCAGACCTAAAACGTTACACACATTATTAACTATATTATGGACATCGCATTAATGCAATTTTAACAAACATAACTATCGTACGGATGATGAAAAGTAATATTTATAAAAATATTTTTATATTAGGAAATAGAAAATACCGTCAGAGAGATCGGAAACATATTTATAAGTAACGCAATTTGTGATGTTCCAAGTTTCAAGAGAACATCGTATTACCATTTTTGAGGCAAATAATCATACAATAGGTAATGGTTTCTTAGAAATATTCGTTTTAATTTCTAGAGAAAAATTGAAAATAATTATGATATAAATGATATTCAATAGATAACTACTACGTTACGTGACAGAAAATCATAACTGTGGCCTTAAATACTAATTAATGTAATAAAACTGTTAGCAGTAGACTCTAGAGTTATTTATAGACATTTGATATTTTTTTAGTTATTATTCGGTTTTATGAGAATAAAGTTGTCTTGTCAAACTGAAATGCCTGACAATTTAATTAAAAGTTCATTGTAAGTTGTATACTGAGCGATGCAAAAAGTTGAGCTTTATATTATAGTTTTTTTATAAGCTTTTTTATTTCAAATTTTAACCAGTATCATAGAAATTATGAAATATTAAAATATGTTTGACCGCTCTTCACTCAGAAACATATTTCATCAACAATAGGTTATCAGAGTATAAATTGAATAACTATATATCCTACATTATGTATCATTCAATGCTTTTCATCTATAACAATAGCATATCCTTCAGTATTATAAACTCTTTCAAAAACTATTGTTTTTTTTATTTATTTATTTATATTATTTTATTTTTATTATATTTATGTATAAGATCGGTAAAGAAAAATATGTGTCATAAATCATGGTACATAAACATTAAACATATTACATAAAACTCATACGAATATTTTTTTTGTGCTACAAGAACAGCTTATGGTAAAAATTATAAAACCATTTAATTGTTAAAATATTTTTGAAGAACCGGTAAAATTTAACACATAAAACTATATAAAAATTCAAAAACTCAAAAATAAATAAGGGTTATAAATACCTCAAAAATTATCAGAATAATTTGAACCTCTTATTCGACAAAAATGTCAAGTTAAGCAAGTAGCTCAAAAATTACTGCAATTATTTTTAACAAATTATGATTAATAAAAACAATTAAAAAATAATAAAGTACATAAATCATCTTTAATGATGGATATTAGGAGAAAAATATAAAATCTGTGAGCGGACACAAACAAATATATATATTTTGTTTCATATTAACGAAGTCAAATATTAAATAAACTTACTTTTCAATAAAAAATAAATTCGGTAAATTTACATAATGTGAAAATATATAATTTATATATCTCACGGACATCCCGCATATTATTATAATTTATATAGTTATAAAAATATTTAAAAAACTAACAAAGTTGATTTTTATAATCTATATTAATTATGAAAGAGATTAACGCGTAGATCTAAAAGAACCCTAACTGTACAAGCACAAATATACTTAAAAACCCTAAAATAATCTTTAAAATTATGCTGTATGACTTTTTTTCCTAGTAATTTAATTAGAAAATATTAACTATTTTAAAATTATCAAAAATCAAAAAAAAATAAATTGGTGGTTCATGCATGTAAGATAACAATAAGCTCGCATTATACTTTTGCCACTCTCTTACTGTATCGGCTGTCCAGATCAGAACCTTAGGATATTTTCGGGCTTTTTAATTCATGAAAATATATTTTATGCCTGATAAAATACTATATTCATTATAAACTTCAAAAAGTTTACCATGATGGGTTTTGATAATTGCATGTTGGAAAAGGCAACTTCTTCCACGTTTTACGAGGTTTTTTGGTTTGTAGATCATTATCAAAAACAAATTTGATACCGGGAATAAAATAAGAACATTTTAATATTGTAAACTATTCGTTGCCTAGTTTTCTAAACAACTAAAAATACACTTCTTATGCACATCCGGTATATTAGGTTAAGTTAGATAATCGGTGTTTAGCATATTATAAAATTGAACGCAGCTATCGGGACGACGAAAATGACGAATGGACTCGGTTATGGACAAACACACCGAGAAAATCTTTGTTCTTTGGATGTTGAGGACGTCAGTGACAAAGTACAGGCTGACAAGATTTTAGAACGGTTTACGGTCCTGTTGCAGCTGTCAGCTATTCGGAACGGACTGTTCGTGGATCTATTGCGGGCAAAAATGGAGCGGAAAGTAGAACGCGATGAACGGACTAAGCATTTGTTGGAGAAAACAGTGGCCGAAACTAGGGCCGAAGTGGACACAAACGGTAAGCACAACCCGAATGTGATATCTATGTTTGCTCATCAGCTGACCCAATGTGCGGACAAATTGCGAAAGAACGACAGCGAAGAAGAAGATGAAATAATTCGAATAACGCAAGACAACCACCGTCTCTGCGCTATTTCCAAAATGCGCCAAACAAAACTCGCTAAAAAAACGGACAATTTTAAGCTCGCCTTCGACAAGCTGGACTGCAAATTGAAAGAAAAAAACATACCAATGAGATCCCAATTGATCGCGTTTGGTCAAAATCCGTGCGAAATAGTAAATTGCGATGACATATGTTGATCCGGTATAAAAAACTAATAACTGTTTATGTGTATTATTCTATAACCAGTGCTTTTAACCATACGTGTACCTAATGTTGTATAATTGTTTATGATCCCCAAAACCCCTCAAAGTTATATTTCATCTTGCGGGTGCAGCTGCGGTAATATTACCCACCAGGACCCCTCAGTAATTTTAACATATTTCAAATTTCAACGACGTGCAATATTATGTACATTTTTTATTTTATAAAACCCCCGAAATTCAATAATTACAAGACAATTTAGCAGTATTTTCACATGAACTTTAATTTTTTCTACTTCTAAAGTAGGATGATTTCTGGTAATATTATTTCAGTTATTCTGCATTAGAAATGTCCTAAGAAGTACATAAAACTGCATTACACTTTTTCAAGCTACACTTGTTTTTCTATATACCAGTAATGGCTGTAAAAAAAAGTATCCAAATAATATCGCATGTAACTATGTAATTGTATTATATATAAGTAATAACAATACTATTATTGATATAATAATATAAATATAAATATTTAGCAATAATAGTTCTTTAACTGACGTTACCATTTTGGTTGCATATAATAAAGTACAGAGTACTAGTTTGTTAAAATGTGACTTGATAATAAGGAATCTTAATATGATAATAACTGAAGCCGTTTAGGGTTGCCAACTATTAAATTAAATATAAAATGAAAAAAAAAATTCCTTTCTATAAACTTATCCTGTCTGTCTCTTATTACAAAAATCAGAAAGAGAAATACAAAGTCTAAACAAATGATATTCCTAATTTGTGTGTAAAATGCCACGGTAACTCGTAAAATTACAGCATTTTAAATTATGCCTTATAAAATATCGTTCTGAATTTTTTTCGTTAGTAATGGTTTATGGTAGCGTACAGATATAAATTAAATTGCTTCATTTATATTTCCTTTCCGACCTACCACCAATAGTGGCTGCACCCGTTTCCGGTATCAACTCGTTTAGAATTTTTAAGTTTACATAATGACAAAATTCCCTAATATTCAGATTTTCTCATTATTTGAGGATTTTTATGTGGTCATACAACACCAATTTTTCTTTGGCTTTTAAAATGACACCCTCTATATGTTTAAATGCAAATTATGAATCCAATAACTTTTTCAATTTTAATGTCAACACTTTGTTAATTTCTCTATTTTTAGATTGTTTGAAGATAAATTTCAGCGCCAATTGCACGAAAATGTATTATATGTTAAAGGTGGACACAATAAAGCTAAATATTCATTGAACAATACGTATCTTATATTTATGCGTACACTATACATTTATATCAGTCAAATTTAGCGCATACGTTACTGTGGTGTAACATATACCGACTTAATTCATATTACTTTGTAACAATCCTGTCAAATACTTCTTCATTTCGTGAAAAGTCAATAGTTTCAAAAAGGTTTTTAAAACAGTTCAACACTCGTGAAATACTAAACAATATAAATATATTGCTATTAATTTACAAAAAAGTTACACAAATTCTCTAATTTTCTGAACTATTTTGTAAAAGAAAATATACAATGTGCAATCATTTTTAACTATTTAAGTGGTTATTTAAATTTGGTTTTGTATTTCATGAAAAGTAAAAAAAATCGCGGTTTTAATTTCGTGAAATATTCGAGTTTTCATAAAAAAAAATCGATGTAATGAGTCAATATGACATATACCTATATGGTTTTGTGTTAAATTTAAAAGGAGAAATACGATGAAAATCTAATAGCCGTTTCAGTCGGAGCCTTTATATAAAATTGTAAGTTATATACACATATATATAAAAAAAACGAAACAAAAATAATGAGAATTTGTAAAATTTTGACATGCTTCGCTATTTATATCCTATTTCCAGTTAAATGCACATGGTACAGCGCGTTTTTTTTTTTTTACTAGGCATCCTAAAGTGTTTAAAAAGAAAAAATGAGGAAAATCATAAATCATCGCCAATCCGACAACTTTTCATTCGTTCTCCGCTCTTCGAAGTATAAAGAAAACGTGCTTTTTTACTTGGATGGTTTTGTAGAAAGTATACGAAATAAAAATAAAACCGATTACTATATATATAATATATATAATATTATATTACTATACATGGGTACGTATCATCGTTTGTCTAACGGCAAAGGGGCTGCTAACCCACGCAATATCGATATTTTTTATTAAATAACTTTTGTTTGGTTTTGTTTGTTTTTTTTTTTTAATTCTTGTAAATAATACGAAGGTAAAGTAAATATGCAATATACTGAAAAATGTGGGTTGCCGATAATAACCAGTGAGAGGGGGAGGGAAGAAAGAAGAGAATATTAAATTAAATAAACAAATGATATTCGATGAAACGTCGACTTGATTAATCCACACACTGACCCGCGACGTTGTTGCTAAAAACAATAATACCAATCTGTTTCACCATAAAGTTTGCGGTATTGAACAAACCGTAACTCTCTGTAATTAAAGACATACATACAGATTATTATATAATTTTGTTACATTATTATAACACTTTAGTGTATGTGTACATGAATAAGTAAATATAATATTATTTCAATGTAATTTTGGTAGGCAGAATTTTTATACTGTCGTGTGAATTGAGAAATATTTTTATGATGGATCGACCTTTCTCTCCCCCCCCCCTTTCTTTCTCAATTTATCTTGTACTAGTTGTTAGTGTTCATATAAAACATATAAAGCTTATTTAATTATTTTACTATAATATTGCAAATGTATTGTTGACAAAGCATCACTATCAACTGAACTTCGCTCAGAATCGTTTTTTCATAAGCAATGGTTTATCATTGTTTACATATATACATTAAATTATCTGTGACAGTGGCTGCACCCTTCCTCAGTATCCTAGGTCGTCTTTTTAATTATAATTTTATAATGTGCTTAATTGATCTATAAATACTAAGATATCAATACAATACAATGTATACATGTAAAATGTATAAAATGAAGTATATATCTGCAAGCTTTTATATTTAACTGTTATTACACATAAATTGCTTTAATTTAGAATTTAGTTCAATTCTACAAAAGAAAGACCGTAATATTTTTAGCTGATACATGCATGTCTTACATTTTTTTTTATTTTTTTTTTTTTTTTAAGCATTATATTTGTATTGAACGATTTAAAATATAATGAAGAAAATTTACTTTAAACGAATTTATTTAAGAATTAGTCTATGTTCGTCGTTATCATTTTTGGATTTGGAACTACCATGAATATATGAGATTTTGAAATGAAAATTATTCTTAACGGGTTCTATTTCGTTTACCAAAAGGTGAACACCATGAATAATAGTCTGATGAGAATATTTATTGGGTATTTGCATTTCGACGACGGGTAATGAATTATGTGGAGCTATGCTATTAATTTACCGAAGACGACATACGCAATGTGCGTTTAATATTACCTATATAAGGAAGCGAACTGTGTTTGAGAATATGTGTATAGAGTACGTACTAGTTATTCAATGTAGACATACATATCAAAATTTGATTTGATGTAGCTTATCTTGAAACGATAGTAGGTCACTTCCCCTTTTACTATAGACTGTTTTCGATCTAATCAACTATAATTTACCATTATTATTCTTATAACAAAATATATCTTAGTTGTTATATACGAATATTATCACTGAAATCAATATATATTTATAAAATACAAACTTTTGAACAAATCATAGATATTCAAAATATCAATTAGTTAAATATAAAAATGCCTATCAAATATAGATAGTAAATAATGGATGATCAATCGATCATCGCTGTTTAAATTCTGTACAAATTTCCGGTCTCGAAATATGATGGAATTGGTGATTTTTTACACTATTTTGTAGAATACAATAAAGTCGTATCTGTACATAAAGTAAAATAAGTAAGAGCAATTTTAATACGAGTCATGCATTCACTCCTTTATTCATACACTAAAAATAGTAATTCATATATTTTATTATATTTTATATTGCGTTTTTCATTTATTCTGTTTATAGTGTATAAAAATAAATAAACTCATAACAATGATAAATAAATTTTGTTATTTGTAATTGCGACGCTAAAATGTCTTAATTAAAATTGTATTAACGTTCTCAAGCTCATAATTATTATTATTATTTGGTACTGAAATATAGTAGAAATTGTAAACTAAAAGGTTAAAAACATACCACCACAAAATGTGAACTAATCTTCTAATGCCCGATTGCATAAAAAACGTCCTATAGATATATTATTGATTCGATGATTTATTGATATTTGGCATTATAAGTTTTATTGGTTTTATAAAGTAATTTATAATTGACAAATACTAAAAAGCCTTGCAAAAAATATTATTATAAGATAGAAATGTATCCAAATTCTACAATGACTTAGTAATCTAAAGCCGCAGTTGATAAAACGAAATTAATTTGTATGTAAATTGTTAATTTATTCATATATGTATTATTACATTTTACTGTTTAGCACAATGACTGAAATGGATAAAAAATCATCCAAATTAAACGGAAAAGAGGAACAAATTCCAATGAAAATTAAAAATCATCATTTCTTGATATAATTTCAATTATATTTACTAAAACTAATGAAACTACGTTCCGTTATGTAGATACCTACCACACTACCAGCTATAAATAATTAGACAAAACAAAATTATTTATATAAAACGACGCATAAAATCAGTATCATATTTTTTATTAGAGTATATCTTATTCGTTATAAACCTACGATGTTTTAGTAGAATATCTAACACATTCCGAATTTGTGGTTACGAGTAATTACGAATCGGTTACTAAAGTATGGAACCCAATATAGAAGAGAATAGTTTAAGTTGCGGCGCCAGCGTAACGTAATTCGGCTATGAACACGTCATCAGATGAAGAAAACTCAATTAACTCCGTTATAATTAAATTACAATAAAACAATTTGTGTACTTGATCAAATAAAACTAAAAAAGACGTTCTAGGATAATGCGGACGGGAGCAGCCA